ACAAAACGGTATGGCGGCATTTTCAAAACGCCGCCCGCACTTATAAGCTGCCCCAAACGGGCCCTGAATTATAAGCGGTTAGAAATGTTTGATTATATGCTAAGACAATGGAGGGTTAACATCAAGGTTGTGTTTTATTGCTGTAATTTTCATTGGCCATAATTTGAACATCTGAAGTTTATGAATGAAATTTGTTCGGGAAGGTTAAACCATTGGAGTTTTTAGCACCATCAGAGCACCGTTATTTGTTGTCCTGCGTTTTCCTTGAGAAAATTGGGGTGGGCATGATTGTGGGATCATGCAATTATTTTTAGCCAAATGAGAGCATAAGCATAAGTACTTTGATTGTTGTTTATCAGAAAATAAAAATAAAAATTTAACATCTTCGCATGGATCAATATATTTTCCTTAAACTTTAAGTGTGATACTTCATATTTTTACTCTTTTTTTGTGGGGCATTTACATATAGGCCTCTCAATCTTACGAAAATACATTACTATCATGTGGAATGCATGTAAATTTCACTTTTCAGGGGCCTTTACATCAATACCGCAAAACTCTTATGTAATTACATACCTAACACACAAAGTCTAATATTTTCATGCATGGCACTGAAATCTTTAATATTACATAAAAAATATCACTATCATCTACTTCTAAAAAGTTAAAACACTCGAATCTTTAAACATTGTATGACCTCCAATCTTAAATTGATTCACTCGGTCAGTCTCAGAATCTACCCTTTGAACAAATGCGTCCTCTCGGAGTTTGGAAATCTCTCGTCGAAGACCAATTGTTTCCCCGCTCATCTTCTCTAGCTTTTCTTGCAAGCCCCGATCTCGCAAGGCTAGAATTGCCTCCAGTTCTTCCATACGACTTGCTAAAGTCCTGGGGGACAACCATCGTATCTCGTAAGTTTCACCCCGGCCCTCGTCGAGTTTGGACGAACAATTGACCACATCCTCTTTGCTACTGGTCAGTACCTTGATACCCGGATTTGTCCACAGGATCAGATCACCACCACCAACACCGGCCGACAATTGTCTCATGCGAGGATCCTCATCTATGAAATGAAAAGTCATTAGTACGCATCAGGCTATTCAAAAAGGAATAAGAAGAATAATATACCCAGGATCCGATTGACTTCGAATTAGGTTGTTCCACCCACGTCACAAGACGAGAAATGATTTGCCAACCCCTTCTCACCAAGTGGACGGTCTTCTCCGCTGACTCGTTGAATCAGCCAGAAGAGAAATATTCACAGAATTCTGCTGGGTTTGTGCCTTGAAGGAAGTTTTCATTGGCGGGTCGGTAGCTAAGGCACCTTGCTCCTCGCCAGCCATCGGTAAAGTCTTCCCTAGAATACCGTGAATCGAATCAGATGAATATTCCACACTCACTCCATTGAATGGTTTTGTCCTCTTGGCCAATTTCTTCCTTGACAGCTCGCACTTGGGTAGGCGCGATCTGATCCCGAGAACGGATAGCATTCTAGCATTATCAACGAATGTAAGTGCGGAATCAGATCCTTTCTCCATAAAGAATATGCAAACGAACTCGAGATGATGAATTGTGAGCCCAGTGATGGTCTTGAGCACAAAAATCTAGGGACTTTATTTATGACATTAAATAAAAATTATTATAAAATTCATTTAATTTTAAAAGTTTTGTTGTCCTTGTCGCAACTTTCACTGTCAAGGAGCAAGAAAATTGAGGAACTTAATGTATACGACCAAAAAAGGCATGCACGGTTCTCAAAGTAGCTTGATGGACCATGCTTCTACACAAAACTTCCTCAGTCACTCATCCCAAAAATGCTTCTACACAGCACACTTAATTTTGAAGTTTCTGATGAAATTGCAACCTTTACACCAAAAAATGCATCAATGCATAAGTGTTCAACTTCATCAACTCAATGAGTTTCACTAAGATTTATGTATTCTTTTATAATGTCTTGAGGAGTATAGTATACCAGATGTGAAAACCAAAAGGCAAAACAAATTTACCCATCCTCCATTATAAAAATTATAATTTTACGGTTGAGCCTGATAAGAACCTATGGCTGCCTCAGATCAAGCTCCTATTAATAACAAGCCTTACACTAAATTCAGTTGGGCTAAAAATTAATTGTGAGCCGTGCTTAGAATGCAACCATTTATCATAAAAGAAATATAAAAATAGTGAATTCCAATTTCAATCTGAATATATTTACTAAATTTTCATTCATTAATATCAAGAACAACACGATAAGCACTAGAATTTTCTTAAAACATGGAATGGCATAGTTATGGTAGATATGCATTTCTGGCATCACTTCTTCTATATAAACTTACCCAAACAACAGAAATAAAGTTCAGAAACGATATGGAAGATTTACATGTCAATCACAATTTCTTTTGATCATACTTCAAAAAACTTAAACTAATTTATCATTAATTTTGATTAATTACTAAGAATAAAAAGTTGACAAGTTCGTTTTGCTTTTAAGACATTGGGTGTAAAAATGAATGTAATATTGTTTTTCTTTTAATGTGAAAACTTTGTTCTCCTCACTAAATTGTCCCAAATATGTAAATTTTATTGAAGGAAGATTTACCTGCATACCACACTATACTTATGTATGCCTAAACTTCAGCTTTTACATACATAACATACCACCGTAGCTATGCATGAAAAACTTTATTTCACTTTTTGAATGTTAAAAGAATAATGATTTCATGTGACATATAGGATTTGGATGATATACATGTTAAAAGTAAAGTTTAGGGGGTTAAATATGTAAAGATACAGGAATTGGGTGGTATGTATGCAAGTTCCCCTTTCCTAAAAGGACATCATGTCAGTGTGGCCATTCATCAATAATGTGTTTCTGGATGTATAGTGCATTAATCTTTCAAAATACTAGACATGCTCCGATGAATCCCAAGTTGTCTGTGGACTCACACCACTCTAAGAGTTGGGCCAAGAATAAAAAAAAAAAAAAAAACTCTCTGACCAAAGATAAAATTTCCGAAATTTTCTACTAGAGTTCGAAATGGATTAAAGAGAGCTCTTCCCTATACCTTGAGATAGTCTCCCCTATTTAAGTTGACTTTGACTAAGGATATGCTACAAAATCACTACATAGAAAATGAACTACATTGCTCAAAATAAGATAAAATAGCTGAACATGTAGCTTGATTGCTTATACATCTTGGTGATCTATTTGGCGCTTGATGAGTTTGATGAAGTTAAACTATCTTATTAAGTTAACCCGCCAAACTGGCTTTGCCAAAATGGTCTACTGAATTAGCTTGCCAAATGAATTGGCCAAACTTACATGTCGAATTGACCAGATTAATTGATCGGTTGACTTGACTGGTCAAATTAATCTACTGAACTATCATGCCAAACTAACTTATCAAGTTGAAAGAAGTCGACTCACGACTTGACTTGGCTCGATTTAGAAGAATCTAGCAATACAAGTTCTATTTTTGATGTTATACATCCCTTCAAATTATTAATATTTATTTTTAAACATGACTTAAAACCTACATATTTCAAGTCAACTCCACATGACGAGTTTTCTTAAACTACAAATATACAAATAAGCAGCTCAAACAACGATATTTAAGTGTAGGATTTGTTTGAGCATCAATGATCATGATGATTTTTCGACACGTTTTATGTTGGCTGTCGACTACTTAACACAACCCTCCACTTTTCACATCCGGACTTGGAACCGGCGATGACAGTGTTAAAGAACTCGGTTAAATGTATAACCGAGTTCTTTAAAAAGTATGCATGCAAGCACTAGGCTTATTCATTTTCTCTATATAATATTACAGCATAAGGATAATTTAGAACGTATAATTCTATACAGATTAAACATTAACATATAGCCAAAACGAATCTACAAGAATAACACTTAACCTTAAGATATATATTATAAAGAGCCATCCATGAATTGGCATCATCGACTAATTTAAAGGAAGGGAATACCATGGAACAAGTGATCAATTTGCATGAAATTGCAATGAGTTCATGAGTTCTGGTTAACGATCTTCTCGCCGAACTCTGTTTGGATCAGATACCATGTCCATCATCATTTTCTCAGGCGAATCTTCCCAACAGCCAAACGTTTTCAAGTCAACCTGCAGTTTTAAATATAAACACAAATGATACTCATAAAAGATGAGCTTCAGCAGTGATTATGATTACAGAAAATCGTAGTCTTGCTTAACAGAAATGTAATCAAAGAAGATGAGCTCATGTAAAGATAACATAACAAGACAGTTTATTTAACTAATTAAAAATATATAGATATACCTTACGCCTTTGTTCTGTGAATAAATTTTCCCTTTTCTTAAATGTATCCTGCTGCTCTTTTGCTGAGCTCCCACCAAAACCCCACACCTCAGCCTCCATTAATGAAGCTTCAACAGGAAGGTACCCCTAAATAACACAAAAGAGCTACAGCTTAGCTTTTGTTAAATACAAATCTAAGGATATTTCAATCATATAGTTAAGTTAGACCGCTGCCTACACAAATATGAACAACGCAATTTTTAAGGGGGCCGTTCGGGACCACTTTTACTTTTTGTTTTTATTTTATTTATTTTACATTTTGATTTGAATTAAAACATATTTGATTGAGTCAGCTGTTTTTAAGAACATTCAAAACATATTTAACTGTTTTGAGTATTTATATAAACAAGTTGATTTGTATTTTAAAAATCGTAACGAACAATGATGAGCACTTTACAAGTTGATTTGCTTTTTATAAATATTAAGCCAACCAAATATATTTTCACAAAAAAAAAGGAAAATAAAAATAAGCAGCAGAAAAAATCCCAACTCCGCGTATGGACAATGATTAAAAGGAATGAAGAAACTGCTAATGATTCGTCTTTGATAGATCAGTTGGTAGAGTTTACCTGATTAGGTAGAAGGGGGCCAGGTTGATAGGTTTTGTCAACTGCATGGTGCCGAATTACTACCCTGTAAAAATCCTCATCTATGAATATCCTCTCATTCCCTCTAGTTCCTCCAAAGGCCAAACCAGCAGGTTTTGGATTAGCCTCATAGACCCTCCCAGTAGGATGCAAGTGGCTGTAGAGAAAATTCTTCTCCTTCCCTGAGTGGTGGCAGCTTATCATCATTAAAATCAGAAAGAAATTGCAGACCATAAAAGGTAAAACATACCAGTAGGAGAAAGCACCCGAAATATTGGAGAAATAGCATACAGATGTGCAGAACTTCCGTAGAACACATCACTATTCTGAAATCCATCCTCGGTTAATACTCCGACCACCCATTTTTTCTTGCTTCCTTTATCATCATTGGAATCTGCTGAATTGCCGGAGAATAGGAACAGCAGTGGCCCATGATAGCCTTCAACTACGGACCAAAACCTACTCAAGCCTTTCCCATGAGTAGATGATCTGCAAGTTAAAAAAGATTGGAGCAATTTTTGTTAGATAAAACCCATTTATGAAATCAGGAACTAGCCATCAGCATAAGTAAAAAAATTTGTACCAGAAAGAAGTGCAAATTACAGAAGAAAATTAAGACACGAGGAAATATGGAGTCGGTATTATAAAGGGCCATAAATTTGAAAACTGGTATCATCTAAAATTTTTGCAAGCAGTACTCATATTTACTAATTGATTCTTTCTGTAAAAATATGCAAAACTTTATGATTACAAGATATATTTAAAGAAGCTTCAGAGCATGGATGCAGTAAAATTTATAATGAAATGATGTTAAGAAAAAAAATCTCTTATTGTTGCCTGAAAAAAAAAGACCAATTAGCCATGCAGTCAAGTAGTAATTGCTAAAGTGTTCTATCTCCAGTTCGATCAATTATGTAAGATTCCTTGCTGATTAAAGTATGCTAACCAGTGAGCCATGAAACAAATTATATGGAATTCTTCTCATACAACTTACAAAATGCTATATTGTAGCATTCATGAGCATGCTGCCAATCATGGAGTCCTAGACAAGAGTTAATGGAGAAGGGGACTTACAAGCAAACACCAAATAGATGGGATAAAGAAAATCATAACGAAAAATGATGAGCACTTTAAATGTAAATGAATATTTCATCTATATATCACATAACAAAGAAAAAATAAATTCTAATTAAAAGCAGGGGGATCTAGAAAAGCATGGGAAAGCAAACCTATATAGAAGGTTGTTGAGCTTGTTGTTGAATAGTTCTGGAAAGGATGCTGCAGAAAGTTCTTCACGTAGAGTACCTTTTTGAGTAAGTGAGATAGCCCACGCCGTCCCAAATGTCAGGAGAAAACTGTCAGTGTTGTTCGCTGAGGAATCACTGCTTCCTGATAGGTTTGGTTTCGTGGAATTTTCCTAAGAGTGGAAAGTTTATTAGAACACAAAGCAGCAAAAGTAATTTGCATAATTATATTTAAAACATATAAAAACTAGACCTTAGATATAAAATAAATGGGCGATCGGCACATCCAAAATATATAAAAGTTATTAAACAATCAGTACTTTCAGAATATATAATAAAAGAAGTTCAGCATAAGGATTATAAAAAGTAAACAAGTAAACACCACATACCTGCTGTAATTATGGCCTATTTGTAATTAGTGGTAATATGGTCTTTCGGCTTTATTTACTTGTATGCTCTAATCCTCTTCTATAAATGAGACTAGAGTTCATGAGATGAAAGATGGTGAGAAGTGTGAGTTGTAACACAAAGTCTTTTTCTTTCTCCCCATTCGATGTTAGTGAAATCTCTCTCCCCGTGGACGTAGGTGAATCTGCTGTACCACGCAAATCTTTTGAATTTGATTGGTGTTTGTTGTTGTGTGAATTTCTTCGTCTTCGTATTGTTTTCGTATAACAATTGGTATGAAAGCTTCTATTTTTTTATCAAAGCATGATTCAGCTTCGACTACAGCAAATCCGACATACGTTGCTAGAAATTTTGCAGTAGGTGGGCCGATGTGCCTTTGCGACAGATTCAGAGTTTCAGCGTCAGACCGACAGCAGGTCGGCAGCTTGGACGTGAAGATCAGATGAGCAGAGGAGCAGCTCTAGGAGGGATTGCCACAACAGAATTCTGACGGCGACCGGTAGAACATGCCCGCAACATACGATTCGGCATGGTCTAGAGGAATCACGTGGAATAGGCGAAGTTCATCGGAGGAAAACATGAGCAGTAAATGTCAGCTTCGCCTTGGAATTAGACCAAAAAAAAGGAAAGTGCTTTTTATGGCAAGCTTCTGACAAAAGATTTATGGAAGTAATAATTTTTTTTTTTAAAAGATGGAATATTTTTAAAAAGGAAAGCTCAGTGTTGACCTCGCTTTCGGTTGAGGTGTAGTTTTCCCCTCCTTAGTAGCTTAGGATCTAGCCGTAGGACCTTTCTTTCGACTACTCCTAGAAAACTAGTGAAGGAGCCCTCCCCGTTAGCAATTCTGGACATTTCTTTGCTCGACTTGATGTTCCATGTAGTAGTCTTGACCGCTATTGTTTAGCAGGTAAGGCTACTCCGAAGGAACTCAAGGAGCATTCCTATAGGACTGTCGGCCTTAGGATTTCGGCAGGACTGTCGGCCTTAGGATTGACTTTACTCGTTGATTTGACGCCGTTGCGCTCTTCGCTGTCCTGTTTAATCGAATTTGAGCCGAAAATTTCATAGGATTCGGACCGCGACCCGTTTTTAGCTCGATCGGCGATGAGGTTGTCCGGACGACTCCGGATGACGAAACGGACTACGCCGATGCGTCCGGAACGTCGATTTTGCTTAAGGGGGACGTTCGTTTCATTGCGACGGCGCGTCTTGGGGAAAATACCTATTTAAGTGTTTATTATAATTAAATAATATTTTATTATTATTATTATTAT